CTGACACCAGGTTCGAACCCACCGCCTTCCGTATATGGGGCCGGCCCTACCCACCGAGCCACAGGCGCTGCCCAAGTCAAAATTTTCTAAAGACTAATAGCTCTGGGCCTCCTACAACACTCCAATAGATGATTAAATTTCAAAATCTGACTACAAGGAGTTCAGGATTGACAATTTTTTTAAAATTATAATTTAATCTTTTTAGGGTTGACAATTCTTTTAATTTCAGGTTAATGTGAGGGTATAAACAACTAGGTTATAATATTTGCATTTGTTAGGTAAAGTCCCGGTTGTACTTGTGTCTGGCACCCAGGAGGTGTGCCGTAGACTCTTATTTTGTGCCCATTAGGTAAGAGCATACGGACCCCCCTCCCTCTTCCCCCTCTCTCGTACTCTCAGGGCTGACAATTCTTAAACAGTTTTCAAAGCAGTTGTTGACCCCCAACCCCAGCCCCAGTAGCCTCCCTGGTCGTCTGCTCAGGTAGTCTGTGTGGTGTTTTCTGGAGAATGTAGGCCCCACAGGCAGGCTGCCCAGGCTCCCCATGGACAGGCCAGTGAAGCAGGGACCAAGTTTATTCCCATCTCTTAGGGCTGCTGTGAGGGTTCAGTGAGAGAACATACAAGAAGCATTGAGACCAGGGATTAGCACACAGTAATGTGCAAGAGATGGTAACTGTTTAAAAGTGAAAGAAATGAAAAGAAAAAGGGAAGACACTAGGACAATGGCAGACCCTGGGACCCTGTCAGCATCTCCCAGCTGACAGCAGCAGATGGGAGGCGAAGGGGCTGGCCGCGGGGCAGTGGGCTTCTGGCAGGGTCTGAATTCACACATGTACGAGGGAGGGATCCCTTACAACACGTTTGTGTGTTAAGAGCACACATCCTCCTACCTCAGGGTTTTTGTTCAATTGTGCAAGCCCAGGATGGGGAACGGTCCCCTTCTCGGGCGCTTGGCTGCCTGGTTAGAGGGAGAGCATTTGTATTTGTACACCACCTGATGCAGGTAGGCTCAAGCTGGGCCAAATCTGAATCCCTTCATGGGAACTTAGAATTTGGCCCAAAGAGTCCTGGCACATAAGGGAAGAGAGACAAATTTGGAAGCTGTTGAAGGAGACCACGTGTTGCCATGTTTCCTAGAAAGGAGGGAAAACCAGCTTGCAGCGAAAGAGGAGGACGACACAGGAACAGTGCTGGCAGAGGTGACTTCCTGGGCTTCCTAAGTCCAGGTTCTTGTTAGTTCCCAAGGCCTAGCTGCATCCTCCCGCACAGGTCTCTAAGATGCCCTGTTATCCTTGTAGTATAAAACCTCTTTCATCATTAACCTGTACCCAGTTATTTTGAGAAGTCACAATCACAAGAATCTTCAAGTCATTTGGGGCAAATATCTTCTTCTCTTTCCCCACCGTGTGACTTCTGGTCCTGCCCAGCTTCCTTAAGGGTGACTTCAGCCTGAAGGACAAGGACCTACAGGCAACACCACTTGACACAGACAGTCCCCACGTACAGCCCTCTAAGCATGAATAGTCTCCCACACATACAGGTCCCTGGTCAGACTCTTCTTAGCTGCCTTTTTCCAGAATAACTGGCTCTTCCCTGTCCACTATCTGTCTCCTTCCTCTACCTGTCTTCTTGGGTCCCAGCCTAAGTCCAGGGGTCTGTGTGTCATGACTTCCAAGTGGTAGCTGCAGCTTAACAGGGGCCCTCAAAACTTTCTAGTGGTAAGTGGCAGGCCAGTGTGGGAAGATGTTTTGGGGAAGGAAGATTTTTCAAAAGCTCTTAAATTGACAGGATAGGAAGGGTACTGGATTAGGAGTGGAGACTAGATTCTAGCCCGGCTTTGCTTCAAACTCACTGTGACTTTAGGCTCCAGTTTCTTCAGCTGCAAAATGATAGAACTGAACAAGATCAAAGGCTTTTCAGGGAGCCCTGTGGAGACGCCTTGGCCATGGCCCTAGAACGTAGCAGGGGAAGAGACAGCACCCAGGCCCTGTTTGTCCTGCTTCCGAGTAGCCAAACTTTGATGCATCTTATACACATCCTAATAAGACACTTGGCTTAGCCCAGGTTCTCTAAGAAGTAGAGTCAAGGCAGCAATATACGTCCTAACACTACCTGGGGGACTATAAGAGCTGGGATGGCTGGGAAAGCAAGTGAGGAAAGAGGGCAGTGAGACCGAGGAGGGAGAGCACACATGGCAGTACACTGCTCAGATGGCCACCATGTGAGGTCGTCTGGGACCTTCTTCAAAGAACGTGTGTGGACTTTGAAAGCTTAAGCTAGTCCATCCAGAAAGAAGAGAAAAGAGTTTATCTGCCAACCCCTGTCTCTTACAGTTCAAAAGTTCACCCCATGGAGAGTCCAATGCTCCTGCACTTTTGAGGCCAAACATGTAGGGTCAAGGAGCAGGAGGGATTACTTGTCACAGAACCTGAAATAAAACAAGTGGCAAGGACCTAGAAGACAGGTGTGGCTGAGAGGGTCTTAGGTGGTACATTGAAAGCATCTGATACATCAGCTCGGCACCCATAGCACAGTGGTTACAGCACCAGCCACATACACCAAGGCTGGCAGGTTCGAGCCCAGCTCAGGCCTGCTAAAGAACAATGACAACTGCAACAAAAAAATAGCTGGGCATTGTGGTGGGCGCCTGTAGTCTAAGCTACTTGGGAGGCTGAGGCAAGAGAATCACTTAAGCCCAGGAGTTTGAGGTTGCTGTAAGCTATGACACCACGGCACTGTACCAAGGGCGACATAGTGAGACTCTGTTTAAAAAAAAAAAAAACATAAAAAAGAAAGCATCTGATACATTCATAATTGAAAAGGAGTGGGAACCTCTACTAAAATAAAAGTCAAAAGCACTGAGCTGGCTAATCCCAAAGGACTTTCTCAGCTGAGAGATTTGTTGATGCTGGTCTCTGAAACTGCAGCTCAGACAGCCAAGACCATATGCCTTTCTGGTGTGCAGGGACTATGTCTTCAGAGAGGTGCAAACAAGACCCTAAAAATTGTACCCCTCAGTGCCCAAGAGGTGGCACCAACTTTACCCTCTACATTCAAATTTCCATGAAATTTAACACCTAAAGAATATGATGTTTTTAAAGTGTCCTGGAAAGAGAGGGGCAGATAATGCCATAAGCCTGGGGAAATTCTCATTTTGTTCATTCAGGAAGGTCTGTTCACCCTGCCAACTCGGACTCCCCTCCCCTGAGACAGAGGGCAGCTGCTGGCTTACAGGCAGAAGGCAGATTTGTTGGTATTTAAGGGATTGGAGGATTAAATGCGCCAGCGAGGCTTCTGCTACGCAGCCTCATCCTCTGAAGCCCACCACATACTAAATCAGTGATTATATTATGGGCATTTTATGCCCCTCCCTCCAGTGCCCAGCAGGCTTGCAAAGCCTGCAAAGGATGAGAAATTTGGGTCAGAGCAGAAGGCTCACTCTTTCTTCTCTGGTGACTACCTAGGTCAACCTATAGATCAGATTCATCAGAATTAAACCTGACCATTGCCATTAAACCCGACTATTAAGCCTGACCACTGCCATTAGCTCACCTTAGGCACACTTCTTCAGGACTCTAGTTTCCTCTGCTGCAAAATAGAGACATCATAAGCTCTGCTTATGACATGGTGAGGATTGAATGCAAACATGATGTGCCTCCCCCATGCCCAATATCCTGGGTATGCTCCCCATCTTTCCCAGGATAAAGGCCTCCCTACCTACACCTATCCCTCTTCCTTCCTGCACTCTGCTGCTGTCTCCATTCCTCCACAAACGCCAGCCTCCCTCCAGACACTGGGCCTCTAGGCAGACAGCCCTCTCATGCAGAATACTCTTCCCTATCCCTTGTATTTGGCCAGCTCACACTTCATTGTCAGCTCGGAAGTTCAAGATCACAGCTATGAGGGCCATTCTCCTGAAGCGTAGACTGACTAAACAACCTCTGTGTCTTGGCCCTCACGATACTTTCCCCGTGACACCACTTACCAATAAACCCAAATGTGAGCACTGCTAGAGGAGGGTTTATCTGTTCCTCCCAGCACAGAGTGCAGTGCACAGCAGAGAGTTAGCTCGAGTCTGAATATGAGAGTGACGGCTCGGCGCCTATGGCTCAAGCGGCTAAGGCACCAGCCACATACATCTAAGGTGGCGGGTTCGAATCCCCTTCCCGGGCCCGCCAAACAACGATGGCTGCAACCAAAAAATGGCCAGGCGCTGTGGCGGGCGCCTGTAGTCCCAACTAGTTGGGAGGCGGAGGCAGGAGACTCGCTTGAGCCCAGGAGTTGGAGGTTGCTGTTGGCTGTGATGCCATGGCACTCTACCCAGGGGGATAGCTTGAGGCTCCGTCTCAAAAAAAAAAAAAAAATGAATATGAGAGTGAGAAACAGAGAGAACATGAGCAAGCGTGCAGAAGAAACTTTTCCAAAGCCACAAACTCTAAGACAGTTACAAGGCCATCACTGGAATCTGGACCACCTCCACTCACCTTGGAGAGAATTTGCCGCTTTCCTGTGTCCTACCCTCCTAGACCACAGACTATACCTAGCTCCTAACATCAAGAGCCACATTTTAAGAAGAGACTGCTTTCATCTGAGGAAGAAGGCGCCTAGCACAGCCTGGAAGTACATGAAACCACAGGCCTTCCTGACCGTAAGAACGAGAGAAATTCCGCCTCCCTTCCTCCCCGGAGGAGCATCTGAGTCAACTTAGTCTTTCCCAGGTCCCGACTCCGCCCCAGCCCAATACCCCGGCCTTAGACAACCTAGGTTAAGATTCCTGTCCCCAACGCCGAGAACCCGGACAGATCGCGGACCCCTTCCGGTCACGCGCTCCCCTAGAGCCGATCCGCGGCCTCCGCTGTAGGCCGAGGACACCGCCCTCGCCACGCCCCCTTCCCCGAGCACAGCTGGCCCCGCCTTCTCGCCCCGCCCCCGCCTCCTTTTCCTTCCTCCCTCCGGCTCTCTTCCTCCTCCCGCCCGCCTCGCGGCTCCTGACCCGGCCCAGGGCTCTCCTGCCTTCTCGCCCCGGCCCGCCCCCGCGCTCGGTATTTGCGGTCGCCTCAGCCAGAGAAGCTGTGGCGGACTATTCCCCAGGAAGGCAGGGCCCAGGGGCAGGCCAACGGGGCAGCCATGGAAGCGGCAGCGCGGAGGCGGCAGCACCCGGGAGCGGCGGGCGGTCCGGGCACCTCCTTCCTGCAGACCAGGTGGGCGCGCGCCGGCCGGGTGGAGCGGGAATGCTCGACGCCTGGCCACTGGCCCAGGGTTCTCACCCTCGTGACCGGGAGAGGGCGGCCGGGGGCAGACTTTCCTGCGGCACGGGCCGGTGTAGAGGGACCCGGGGGGCTCGGAGGCGCGCTGCCCTCAGGGCTGCTCGCCCGAGCCCCGCCTTCGCGTTCCTTTTGCTTCCTGGGGAACTTCGGGCCCAGCGAGGCTCAGAGAACCCCCCCCTCTGCTGTCGCTTGGTGGAGGAGCCCCCTTCCAGAGTTTGGGTTTTTCCCGCGCAATCTCCCACGACCGGTCCCAGGCTAGGACGGTCGCGCTGCTGGGGAGAGCTCTCCAGGGGTCAGGGAAGTGGGTGGGGGTGGTGGGCTCGGAAGACGCACGTTAGTTCATTTGGGCCTCCAACTCATCTGCAAGTTTGGGCTGCCGCCTCCAAGTTTTCGGGGTCCCCAGCCCTGAATAGGACTTGGATTCTGCTGTTAATCAGGAGGCTCACGCCTTGCCCTGGAGAACCCAAGAAGGAGAGAATGTTATGGAAGAGACATCAGAGGGTGGCAGCTCCCATCTCTGGATGGATGAATGAGGAACCCTTCTCTCACAAAAAAGGAAACGTTTTTGGATTATCTAGTTGAGACCAGGCAGAGCTCCATTCTGCCTTCGTCCGGTTTTACTGACCAGAAACGTTTATCGCGTGCAGCGGGCGTTCGTTAAGCACCTCTAGTGTGCCCAGCTGTGTGCCAGGCACTAAGGGGTGGGCAAGGTGAAACTGAGAGGGGCTTACAGTCCAGTAGGGACCAGGAGGGATATAGCCCAAGGGGCAGGTGAGAGGTCATCTTGGAGGGCTTCGTGGAAGAAGTAGCGCTTGAGCTGAGTCTCAGAGGACTTCATAGAGGATGCAGGGAAGAAAAACTGTTCCAGCTAGGGAAAGAGTGTAGGGAAAGACAAGCAGTGTATTGAGGCTGGAGCTTTCTGTGTATAAAGGAAGTGAAAGGAGGATGCAGACTGATAGTGAAGGCCCTTTAATGGCAGCAGGGCTGGGACTAGAGTGAGGGCCTACAGAGCACAATTTAAGGTAAAGGCATTAGGACCCTGGGAGTGACTGTCTACTCAAATGTTAAGCCATACGTGGCTCACTTGCCTCACCCTAGTTACTGTCTTAAATGACAGGTTAAGGATACAGTCTTTGTTTCATAGGCACTGGAGAGCCATGGAAGGTTTTTGAGTACTTGTGTGCTCAGAGTTGATTTTAGGAATTTTGTGGTATAATTTGGGATCATACCTGCTACTGGGGGCACATCAACTAAGAAACTGCAGACTGTTTCCTTTTTCACTTAGAAATAATTTATAAGGTATATAAAGTGTAGACCCATTAACTCTTCTAAGTCTCAGCTTGGCCTATGAGTTACATTTATTTTATTGTTGAGGAAACAGGCCAGGATGGGCTAAGGAGCCTGAGAACTGAGTCTGATTCCCAGCTCTGTGTGCAGGCCTGTACTTGTGCTGTGGCTTCTATCCAGTCCAGTTGTCAGCTCTCCTCTTCATGGAGCCACCCCTACCTGAGGGATGTCTTTGTTCTGGATCTCTGCCAAGTTGGGGGTCTTTGCCTGCCCTCTCTGGTAGCCAGATTAGTCAGTTATGGTCACCACTTTATCTCACATGCGGGCCTCCCATGTCTAGCATCTTACTTAGCCTCTACAATGAGCTGCCTAATATCACTTCCAATGTACGGGTGCGGAAACTGAGACCCAAAGAGGTTATGTTATTTGCTGACAAAAACCAGAGCCAAAATCCAGGGGTTTTGTTCTTCCTACTCCATGTTAGCTGCTGAGGGGTAGTTCCCTCTGTATTCCTGTATGGGCTCCCCAGCAGCCAGGGTGTTACAGAATATAGTGTGAGGGGTTCTCTACAAGGGTATCTCTGCCCCCTCAGTGGAACCCCTGGGTCCATTCCCACTATCACCTGTTTGAGACAGTAGACAGAATCATCTTTTCCAGTTCTTAGGATCCTTGGGTCCCCTCTGCTACAGCCACACTTTGCTTATATATCTCTGTTGACAAAATGCTCACTACCTATCAAGGTAACCCATTTCATTCTACCTGATCTGTTGACAGTTTTTATATTACGATCAAAGTATTGTAGTTAATGCACATGATTAAATCAAATAACACAGAAGGGCTTACAGCTTTAAAAAACAGCAGTCCCCTGTTCCATCTCTCCTTGGCACCAGAGACAATCACATTAGCTTCTTTTAGCTGTTTCTACCACAGTTAAATTTATCTTTTTAAATAACCCAATTCATGGGTCATTGCTTGACTTTTTCAGATGAGACCCCTTCCTTTTCCGATAGGCAGTCCTGCGGAGGCTGCTGATTTTCACCATATGGTACGCACTCCCCACCTGTCATGGTATCAGTTTCCCCACATGGTAGATATGGAGGAGAGATCACCTTCTTGCAGATTACTGGCCATTGTGCTTTCACCATTACTCCCAGCAGGAGTTGCTGGTGATTGAGACCAAGAGCTGGCACAGGCTGGGGGCTCAATGTGTGGACTCAGGACCTTGGGACAAGTTTTCTCATCCCCAGGATGGGGGGGGGGTGGAGAGGCTGCCTCTACCTTTAATGATCTGCCTCCTGTAGTCAGAGTCCCAAGAGAAGAAAACCAGTCAGACACTGGCCAGTCTTGTTCCCAACCTGGGCGTCTGCCATGGGCTTGCGTTTTTGTTTTCTTGCCCTGCTAAGTTAGGCTGACTAATGATAAGGATTCCCTTTGACTGAGATGCTTCCTAAGTAAAAAATAGTTCCTGAGCCCCTAATATGTCCGTATATGCCCATGACTTCCAGAGACACACACCTAAGTGTTTCCCAAGGCTTTTAGAATCCCTTTATTCCTTGTACTAAGTTCTTTGCCCAGTTTGGAGGTTTCAGAGCAAAACACTAAGGGCCCTTATTCTCCCTTATCCATCTTCAGGAGGTTGTCACCGTCTTCTTTTAGAGGTTTTGCCATGATGGTCACTGAGAGGAAGGGGCAGGGTGGGGCCTCTATGCTGGTTACTTGTGTCAGACCCCTGAGCTGTCACAGTTACTCCCTGAGTATCTGCCCATTCTGAAAATCCAACCCCCTTCCCTCTCTTCCTCTGCCTTCAGTAAGCTGAGTACCTCAACTCCCTGCAGGGTCTTTCTCAGTAGCACCTGCAGGCCTCTAACCCTACCCTCCTGCTGCTTTCTGCCCAGTTAAATCCCCCCAGTGGTGCTTCAAGGCTCTCTTCCTTCATGTGTAGGCTTTGCATACAACTCCATTGCATGCCAATCCCTTTCTAACTTGATCTCCTGATAAGCCACAAGGCTTACTGTAATCATCACAATGGAAGAGCAAGCTGTCACGAGCATGTCTTGAATTCCTATAAACCAGGGTTTGAATTCTGGTTCAGAATTCAAAGTTCTGGCCAGACAGGACTCCTGGGTTGCAAGTAACAGAAAGCCAATGTGAACTGCAGGATCCTTAGCAAAAGGAAATATGTTTGCTCACATGGCCAGGCCACTGGCCTGGGGATGCCAGGGAGTTCAAACAGGGAGTACGAACACTATCGGGGCCCTTTTTCCCTCTCTTGATCCTCTGCAAGGCTGCTATATTCTCACCTGGCTGTCTCCTGAGGGTGGAAACTTGGCTGCAAGCAGCACTAGGCTTGCATCCTTACAGTCCCAGCGCCAGAAAGAAAGGAGCTCTTTCCCCCAACTCTGGTTATTAATACAGAAGTCCCACCAGGCCAGTCTGGGTCACTGGCCCTCCCTATGGCCAAGGAAACATCATCTCTCACCAGAAGGAGCAGCAGGTGCTGAAGAAGGACTAGTTTTTTTTGTTGTTGTTGTTTGTTTGTTTTTTTGAGACAGAGCCTCAAGCTGTCCCCCTGGGTAGAGTGCCGTGGCATTACAGCTCACAGCAACCTCCAATTCCTGGGCTCAAGCGAGTCTCCTG